GGGCTGCTCGGCAGCATCACGCGAAGCCACAAGCGTCACCAAGGTGGCTGGCGAGCCTGCTCCTGCTTGGGCATCCGGCACCTCCGGGATGTGGCACGGAGCCGGCAGGAGGCACCTTCCCCACCGGAGGACGGAGACCGCGCTCCCTGCTGCCAACACCAGCCGTGCACGGGGCCTCCGACTTCCCAGCGAATACAGTAATTTTCACAACCACAACCTAAAAGGAACAGCGGGTGGAGGACCTCTGCCGCGCGTGTGTGTACGTGACCCAGTGAGTCTCGCCCATCTGCCGTCCCTTCCGGGTGGTCGCGCTGTAGTTCTTTCCTGTAGCACCGCTCGCTAATCCTCAAGTCCTCAGGTGATGGAGCTGAGCTCCTAAAACTCTTCAGCTTAATCGTTGTGATGGTTTATGTCCATAACATTTGTATTAAACCCCTGTGCAACAGAACCTCAGTGTAAAAAGAAAAAAAAGTTATTAGCAAACCACGCAGAATAAAGACGTTTGGTAAAAGTTGTGTGACTCAAGTTACTTATTGAAGCCGTTCTGCTCTTCAGAGGGAGAGTCCTTGTCCCGCAGGATTTAAGGACCCGTATCTTAGATATGTAATTATAACAAGCCAAGAGCTGCACTCGTTAGGCTTCATGCTACGCTACAGCGGTCGTTATGGCCTCTAAATATTTTATTCTCAGGTCTTTATTCTGTCAGTCTAATTTTATTCTGTCAGTCGCAGTCTGGCTTCGAGCATTCGCCCGCCCTGCCTGCGGACTTGCTGCCCGATGGGCGGACCCGCCGGGTTTCGGTTGGCGACCGGCGGAGCGCAGAGGCAGAGCATCCCCCCCCGCGCAGCCCTCGAAGGGACCGGAAGACGGGACCAGATACAGCTGTTTGTCGAGGCTCTTCCACAAAAGGTGGATGCTGCTACCTCTCCCGCACACCAAGCTTGAAAAAAACAACGAGGCAGCGGACACCTTGAGCATCCTCTTCCCCGAGGCCTCCGGGGAGGGAAGCGAGTCCTTCGGGGCCGCAGCAGGGGGTGGGAACGAGGACTCGCCGTCCCTGAGGACGCCCCCAACCAGATCAGTTGAATGTTAATAAACAAAAAAATAGACAACTGAGAGCATTTAAACCACCTCAAAAACCCCTTCTCAGCCAGTGTCTAGCATCCCCAGCCCTCCGGCCCTGCCAGCGCTCGGGGACGCACGTTCGACCCCTGCAGACAGCCGAGGCCGTCCCGCTCCTCGCTGCGGCACCGCGGCCGGGCCGGACAAACGGCAATGTTTGGGGCCACCCTGCACCGAGCCCGGCTGGGGTGTGCAGTTAAAAAGTCATCTCGTTCTCCTGCCCAACAGCAAAACCCTTTCAAGAGGACGTAAATCCCCCTGCATCCTTCCCGAACAGCCGCCTTGGATGTCAGCAACTCCGCATTTGTCCCCAAGCGGCAGCATTTAAGCTCAGGGTGAGCCGTGCAGCGCGCTCTATTCGCGATTATCCACCCTTTTGTATTCAACCGACTCATTTCATTATCCAGCCTGGCCCCAAGGGCTGAAACAGCGTTAAACGCAGCCAGAGGAGCGCTCTCGCTGGGCTCCCTGCTCCGGGTGACAGCGTCACCGCTCAGGGTCCCCCCAGCACTC